GTTTGAGGACTAGTGGCAGCACCTGGCTGTGTTGGCTGTGACCGACTGTGTAGTTTAGAAAAGCTGCGCTTCATTCATCTCCACGTCTACGTCGGCAGTTTTTCTGGAGGATAAATGAAGCGCAGCGATCAACCACTAGAGGAGCTGCAAGGCTTGTGCATCATTAGTGTCACCGGGACTTTCCTCGGGGGTCTGTCTGCGGCGTCTTCCGTTCTCACTGCCCTTCTGCTGCCCACATTATTATGATCACGTGTCCTGATCGGCTCTGATTCGTCAACGTCGCCGCTGTCGTTATGACGCTAACGCGCGTGCGGCCTGTGACTGAGAAGGGCAGAGAGACGGGAAGAGCTGAGCATTTTGGAGGCTGTGTGATACAGCTACATCCCACCGGGGGGCCTCATTACCCCTGCTCTGGAGCTCTGTCACTTTCCCTGTGTTTCCCAGCATCCCTCTGTAGGAGCCAGCTATAGGTCTGGGGCTCAGAGTCGCCACCTTCTGGTTCAAAAAAAAAAAAAAAAGACCAAAATGTTGCCTTGGTGAGACAGCACTCTGCACCACCCTCCACCATGGGGGGGGGAGGGGGCTGGTCGGGACTGGAACCTGATGTTCATGACAAATCGTCAACATTTATCTGCATTTCCTCCATTTTTAGACAAAGGAATTACATGATTGGACACTCTGTGGTCACATGATTCCAGGCGTCAGAGTTTTAAATAAACCTGGACTCATTTTATCTCAGTATTTTAAATCCCAACGCTCACGTTAATCATCTGTAAACTGTCGTATTTTCTCCTGTGTACGAAGGAAAAAACAAAACAAAACAAAACAACAATGCGTCAAATCTCCATGTTCGTCTGTTGTATTTAGTCAGTTATACGTGCTGTTTGTCTGTTGTATTTAGTCAGTTATACGTGAGCTGCTGTTGTTTCCACTGCACATTTAATGAAAAACAGTAAATATATATACACGAGTGTAAACATTCTTTGACCACAAATATTTGACCTTTGACCTTGAACTGGGAATTCTCTGTCCAAGTTACTTCCATCAGAGGGTTTGGAGTTAAACCAGCAGAATATCACTGGTGCTGTGAAGAAACACTGGTCCGACGCCGAGGTTGCGATTTCTGGACTTTTATGATTACTTTATATATAAGATATATTTTGATATCGTTTGATTTATATTTGTGCTTATGTTCTGGTTACGATTCATTTGTACATAATTCACATATAAGCTAGAAATATAGATAACATAGTGTCTGTCTAATATATATACATATATACATATATTGTGTATATGTAGTATATATTATATATATATTTATGTATAGAAATATTGATATATTGACATATTGATATTTCTTTAATTCATTCCAGTTTATTCTGGCTTATGTTTTACTTTGATCAATTCCTAGACCTCCCTCTCCCTCACCCCTCTCTCTCTCTCTCTCTCTTTCTATCTCTATCTCTCTCTCTCTCCCGTCCCCTTCCTTGATCTTCTTACTTTCTAATTATCTCCACTGTTGCTACGGAAACAGTGGACAGGGGAATTCAGGGACTTAGTGCAGCAGAGCGTTTTAGGTCAGGGCGTTCAGTATTTGATTGCAGTATTGATTCATATCGATACAGTGGGCTGCGTCCCTCTGCGGACCCTCCGGTGCGGCCCAGTGAAGGTGAGAGTGACAGCTGTGAGGTAAATGACAGCGGTGTACAGAAAAAAACCCAAAAAAACAGGACTATATTCCACACAGAACACTGAAGGAGAGGCGGAAAACACTAAATATAAAAGACCAGAGGTCACATGACTCCGTCAGCTCAGGGTGTCATACCTGGAATATTTGGAAGGGCCTTGAACGTATAACTTTAAACCTTTCACAGAAATGAGTTTTTTTTTTCAAAACCCTTTTTTTTCATTTATTCCAGTCCTGGAATGTTTTTAAAAATGTCCCCTCGACTTCACGGTGTCCTGTCTCCAGCACTGCAGATCAGCTACGTCTCACTGCGGTGCTGCTACTGCCCCTAAAGGCCGGCATTGCAACTGCGCCCTCCTCTGCGGCGCTGCAGACACTGCATTATGATACTGTACACGTCCGTCTGCCTTTCCAATGAGAAAAACCTAATCAGTGAGTAGGTGGAGGTTGAACCAGGGATTGAAACCTTGCATTAATCACCGGCTGGCTTTGTATTTGCTGCCGTCTCTCGCTGCTGCCTTGTCTCCCCTTGTTGTTTCCTCCCATAACTCTCCCCCTCTCTCTCCTTTACTGCCTTTCTTCTCCACTGTACCAAAGGCATTGATTCCCCCGCTCTGACGGACAGATACCATTGGCCTGGACTGACTCGGAGTCAGTACTTAGAGGCTTATTGATGTGAGCAGATAATGCTCTCCCTCCGTCTCCCTCCCTCCCATCTCTCTCTCTCCCCCTTTTCTCTCCCTTTTCTCCCCTTTATTTTCTCCTTCTCTCTCTCTCTCTCTTTCTCTTTCTCTTCACAGCCCATGATCAATGGCCTTTAGGATGGTGTGTAATCATTATTGGTGGTCAGAACCCCCCGAGGCCGATTGGATTGCACTCAGGTTATTTTATTTCCAGAGAGCCACTGCAGCGGCTGCACCGCAGCAGTATCAGGAGAGAAGCGTGTTAACCGGGGATAATGTAAACGTATCAATTACTGTACGTCCAGTCAAAACTGGGAACTCACAAACCGCACACTGGACTGGGACCGAGGATCATCGGCTTCAGTGACTCTGCATTGGCCACAAACCACAGACAGACACTGGTGTCAACAACCCAGCAACAAATTAGTCTTTACATTCATTTCTACATTTATTCAATCAAAAAAAAAAAACATGCCCGAATTTCTCCAAATCATAATCTCCGACACCAGGTCCACAGCTTTTGTAAAGTTTTCACAGCTATTTGTAGTGTCACCCTGTGGTCGGTGTCAATAATTACTATTAATATTACCTTTTTGGTTCTTGTTAATTGTTTATATTATAATACTACGAGAAACAAAAACCCAAATACACAGATGACCAATCACATTTGAGTCTTGATTTGATGATGTCCAGTACGACGATCGGAAAACACTCTCCACATTCACCTAAGAAAATACTGCCGCTCATAAAAAAGCCATTGTTTGTTTCCAGGGAACACTTAAGGGCTGATAAGCAGGCTTTGG